CTCCCAGTTATTAAGTACGCGCTTCATCACAGATGGAGCCCTGGTGGCGCAGTGGTTAAGAGCTCGGCTGCTAACCAAAATGTCAGCAGTTCGAATCCACCAGCCACTCCTTGGAAACCCTATGGGGCAGTTCTACTCTGCCCTATAGGGTCGCTATGTGTTGGAATCGACTTGATGGCAACAGGTTTGGTTTGGTTTGCTTCACCCCAGACATCGTGCCCTAAGATGTACCTGCTTTACCTGGGTTTAACCCTCAAGGCTCCTGTGTCATAGGTGTCCTGTTCCTAGTTCACAGAGGTGGAAGTGGGAGTTAAGATAAGGAAGTCCCCTGGCAGCAGGTTGCTGGGCCTGCCGCCAACCCTGGGCTCAGGGCTCTTGGAAGAATCTTCATGAGGGGTTCTTCTTTCCCGTCTTCCTTCCCAGTTAAGGACGGGGGCACTGCAGGAGCACAGCCAAGGGGTGCAAGGGGTGCCCCTCCTCAGCACATTCCTGAAGAAGCTCCCCTTTGAAAGGAATATGTTGATATGACTGATTTTTGTTTTCTTGTATTAAAAAATTTTAGTGTAATGACATAAAAATGGTTACAGATAAATTACCAGTATTTTCTGATTACTAAAGTAATACAGGAGGCCTGGTGGTGCAGTGGTTTAAGAACTCAACTACTAACCAAAAGGTCTGCAGTTCGAATCCACCAGCGGCTCCTTGGAAACCCTATGGGGCAGTTCTACTGTGTCCTTTAGGGTCGCTATGAGTCAGAATCAACTCGAGGGCAACAAGTTTTTGGTTTAAAGTAATACATACACACCTCTTTTAGAAAAAAATGTTGAAATACATAAAACACAAGGTATAGTCATCTTTGATTCTATTAACCATAGATAAAATAATTAATATTTTATGGTGTATTTTCTTTCAGAAATAAATAATAAGTAGCCAGGACTAATGGACCACTACCATCACAGACTCGTCTAGACTGAGTCCAGCACGACTAGGTGGTGCCCGGATACCACCACTGACTGATCTGACAGGCATCACAGTGGAGGGTCCCAGAAAGAGCTGGAGAAAAATTCTAATTCACACACACACACAAAAAAGACAAGACTTGCTGGTCAGACGGACTGGAGAAATCCCAAGAGTATGGCCCCCGGATACGGTTTTAACTCACTACTGAAGTCACTCCTGAGGTTCACCCTTCAGCCAAAGATTAGACAGGTCCATAAAACAAAATGAGACTAAATGGGCACACCAGCCCAGGGGCAAGGATGAGAAGGCAGGAGGGGACAAGAAAGCTCAAACCCAAGGTTTAGAAGGGGAGAGTGTTGATATGTCATGGGGTTGGCAACCAATGTCACAGAACAATATGTGTACTAATTGTTTAATGAGAAACTAGTGTGCTCTGTAAACCTTCATCTAAACTACAATAATAAAAGAAAAGTAGCCAGTGTCTCAGGAAAAGACAACTTTCAGCGCAGTCAGCGGGATGGAGGCATAATATGTTGACTGTGCTATCTAATTTTAATTCGGATTTCTAGACTAACAACCATGTTTTTTGGGAAAAAAATATTTTTCTTCGGTGGTCAAAACCAGGATGTGAAGCTATATGCCCTGAGGGGTCTTAACCAAGTGACCATCTGCACCCCTCAAAATACACGTACTCAGGAAGAGTGCTATCTGGGTGCTGTTGCCAACAAGGTATTTTTGCAAGATAGACAAAGAAAATACATGTCAGCATCCTGTGAAACTGATCACTAATTATACTGTTAATAATAATCAGTAACCAGTCAGAGTGTGATTATTAACAATATGCATTGATTTTCCTATAATTGCCCTCCCTATGGTTTGTTTCCTCTTTTTACCCCAGGAGAATACTTGTATAACGAAACTGCCCCCAGACTGCCTGGTTCTATTTTCAGTGGGCTCCGTAGTTCCCCAATTGCAGTTGTTTTAAATTCTTAATAAATTGTTTTAACTTGAAACTGTGTTCAAGTCTTTCTCTACAACAGCAGACTCTATGATTTGTACCATATGTTGATATGACTGGTTTTTAAATATGACTAGGACAAGACGTTAGAGGAGACAGTATAACAAGTAGTTAAAATGGGGGGCCTTTTTCTGAGCCCTCACCCCCCTCTCTGGGTTCGTTCCCCCAGAGGTCAGACCCTTGGGTAGGTGGGAGGAGGGAACACATGGGGTCTTTGGGGGCCTTGAAGTCAGCCAGAGGGCAGGGAAGGTGGCTGTGGGGTCAGGGCATGTGGAGGGCACTAAGCCAGCTGAGAGGTGCATTGGCCCCCAAGACGGGAAACCAGAGTCCCATGTCCCCCAGGTCTGCTGAGACCTCAGGAGACCCCGCCCCATCATCCTCCCTGACCCTGGGAAAGGGCAGTGGGCAAGGCGGAAGCACTTTCCGTCTCTACTGCCCTAGCTGCCCTAGCGCACTGCAGGGAAGGGCCTGGCCTGGAGGCTGGTGCTGGGAGGTGCTGGCTTCAGATGAGGCCTCCTCCAGCTGGCCAACCTGGCCCACCCCTTGAGGGCAAAGCTGGGAGTCATCCAGGTAGGGGTGGGTGAGCGCAGTGGGCTTGCCTTGCTGCACAGGAGGAAGGCCGGGAGGGTGTATTGTAATGACTGAGGCCTGGGTCCCGCCCCCGGAAATTCTAGTTAAGTGGTCTGGTGAGCTGGGCCTCAGGGCTGCGGCCGCTCCCCAGGTGATTCCTGCTCAGCAGCCAGAGTGGAGAAGCCCTGGGTTGTAGCCTCCCAGGCTGAAGAGAGGCGGTCCCCAGTCCTGTCTCCTCACCTGTGCACCGGCAGGACTGCACCTGGCAGGCCGAAGGTAAGGTGGGAACCTCCTCAGGTTCTCATTTCCTCCACAGCTCGGGGGTTGGCAGGTGGGCTGAAGGGGGCAGCTCCGGGTTAGGGAGCAGGAGCGTCCCGGCCTCCCCCACGTGAGCGCCGGGTCTTGGATCCAGCCTGCAAGTTCTCCGTCAAATCCAACTTCTCTTCCCCTGCCACTCATCTGCCCCCAGCTTCACCCTGAGGGCACACAGGAGTCGAAAGTGGGCTCAGGTGCTAAAAGCAGGCCGTGGCCAGGTGTCCTAGCCTCAACCCCGTCCTGCTGGATAAGACCTGCCTCAAGTCACCAGCTAGGCATTGGCAGGAGGGCCCACTCTTCCCAGGTTGTTTTAGGCAGCACAGGAGAGACAGACAGACACAGAGAGACAGAGAGAAATAGAGACAGAGACAGAGAGGCAGAGAAAGACAGATAGAAACAGAGAGAGAGGCTGAGACCAGGAAGCGGAGACCTGGGCTCTGCCCTGGCCCCCGCGTGTGTGGTGTGGGCAGAGCAACTGGTAAAAGGAGGGGGACAGGAGGATTTCGGATGTCCCAGCAACTGTGACAGCCTGTGGCTTCCATTTCCATAAGCAGGTGACCCACGGAAGGCCAGCAGAGGCCAGCTTGAGAACTTAGCTCAGGATGGCTTCGCGTGTCCGGCACGGAGCTCGGTGGCGAGGAGGGTCCCTGGAGCCACACTGGGGGAGGCACAGCCCTCTCCGGCACCAGCAGGCAGCACCCCCTTTGGCAGACCCGAGCGCCCAGTGTGCTCTGACAGATGAGCAGGGGCTGGGGGGTGCCCAGAGACCCACCACCCGCCCTGGGCTCCCCCTACCCACCCCCCTTCCCAGCCCTGGGCATCCCGGGAGGAAAAAACCAGAAATAGCACCACTGCTCCTCTACATCTCACATCCCAGTAAAATATTTATTATTTCAAGAAATAAATCTTTAAAAAAAAAGAGAGAAAAGAGTGTCTCTATTGCTTTCCTCGGCAGGCCGGGCCCTGGGCAGGATCCCTTTCTTGCTGCCGCAGGCTTCTTCAGCCTCAGGGCCACCCAGGCCAGGAGGCGGCTCCCAGTGGGGCCTCGCCCCCTCCCGCAGTTCTCAGTTTTGGTGCTGCCTCCTGGAAGGACTGAGAGGCAGGCCCAGGTGGGGGTGCGGACAGGAGAGTGGGTGGGGTTGGCAGTGTTCTGAGGCTTGGCCTTGCACCAACCAGGCGAGGGTCTGGGTGTGGTGGGTGGGGAGAGGGAGTGTCCTGGGGTGGGCTAGGAGATGGACAGTGGATCTGGGGGTGATGTTAGGCTGGAGGAAGCATCGGGGGTGGGGCGCCCCACCAGGGTCTGCAGCTCCAGTCCCAGGCCTTTGCTGCAAAGATGCTGGGTGGGGGGAATCAGCACCTGCAGGGGGCGCCTGGTGCAGGGAGACACCCCAGGGAGGATTCTAGGGTCTGCTGTTGGAGGCTGGGGGTGGCAGACTGAGGCTTTAGAAATAAATCTATGGTCTGGAATCGAGGGTCATGCCGGACCGGTTTCAGGAGACGCCCACAGTAAAGAGAGTTGGAACAAGCCTGAGGAACAGTTGAACCCGGGCCTGGTGCATAGAGAGGAAGGAGGGCTGGGGGGAGGGGTAGAATACGTGCCTGGGGCTGAGAGGAGGCATGAACAGGGTCCCTGGCCGCCCCGTCCCCAGCCCAGCGTCCTTGGTCCACACCCAGACACCTCCAGAGGACCAAGGCTGACCGGCATGCATCTCGCTCTGCTTGCAGGAGGCGTGCCCCAGAGCGCCGCCCCCGGACCAGTGAGGCCCAGGTCTGCTTCTTACGATAAGGACCACAGGCAAGCCTGCAAGGCCCCTGCTCCGTCCTCCTGTAAATCATCTGGGGCCTGAGAAAGGCACAGGCCCTCTCCCGCCTGGTCCATATCTCACGGGGCCGGTGGGGCCCTCAGACCACCCCCACGTCTGCCTGACCACCATGGTATGAGTCCCCGGAGGAGAAGCAGGGGCCTGGCCGAGGGTGGGTACCAGGGACTCGATTCACTGCCTCCGCCTCCGCCTCCACCCGTGCCTGCCTCTCCGCTGAGAAAGGAAGCCCCAGTCTGGGGGAGACAGGGGTGGGCGCACGGTCGCTGGAGCTCCAAATCTGCTGGTGCTTTCTCCGGGCCGGGGGCCTGCGGGCCTCACAGGCAGGCCTGGCACAGCGCCACCTGGCCCTTGCGGAAGTCACGGCAGGGGCAAAGCCGGCGGTACTTGGTGCTGGCGCCGGCGCAGCTGAAGAGCAGTGGGTCCTTCTGCAGGAAGCACTCCTGGCCAGGCTGGGCGAAGGCCGGGTACAGGTGGTTCATCTCTGACTCTGTGCTGTCACAGGGCACCTGCAGCCTGGCGGCACCGCACAGCGCAGGTCACCCAGTGTTGGTGGCCAAAGGCGCAGGCCCCAGAGGGTAGGGGCTGCCCCCAGCCTGGCACTGCCCATTCCCTCCCAGGCCCAGGAAGGGGAGGTTTCCTGGAGTCACCAGAACAAACCCTGGGTGACAGCTCCTTGTCCCAGCAGCTGTTCAGAGACCTTTGGAGGAGAGAAAAGGGGCCTGGCCGCTGCAACCCTGTCCCGGATGGGGGTGGGACTCCCGACCTACCACCAGGAGGAAGGCCTGGAGCAGGTTTTGGGGCCTAGACCTAGAAGATGCCCTAACAGGCTGGGCAGGGGATAGGGGAGGGCATGGGAGAGAGGAGGAGGGGTGGGGGATGGGAGAGGGGATGGGAGACCAAGTGGGGGAGGGGCGAAGGAGGGAGTGGGGGAGGGGTGGGCAAGGACTGGGAGGGAGTCTCCACGGTGGTTTGGGGCTGGGACTTTGCCTGGAGTGTGGAAGGTCCTTCCAGATCCTTTCAGACTCTTTGGAAAGCATTAAATGCCCCCAACCACAGGAGGGGCCGAGGGCAAGGCAGCTCTGGGAGTGGAGGGTTCAGATGGGGTGGGCTGGGCTGGCCGAGGAGGGGGTCACTTACTTCAGGAAGGCATCCTGGCTGTTGAGGAAGGGGAAGAAGGAAGGCTCACAGACCAGCCCGTGGTCCAGGCAGGCGTCAGTGCAGGCCCTCCCCGCCTCGGCCAGCCAGGCCTGGAGCGAGTGCCCGGGGGGCCAGGCCCCTGGGGCCACACTGGCATTCCGCGCCCACTCCAGGTGGGTGGCATTGGGTGCCAGGACAAAGGGGCTCTGCGGGGTGCCGGCCCCCGGCGGGGAGGGGCCTGGGGCTGCACAGAAGTCCTGCCGGGAGGAAGCAGCGTTAGGAAGGAGAAAAGGGGCTTATAATTGCAGTAACAGCCACCACTACAGGGCGCTTACTGAATGACAGGCTTGTGCTAGGTGTCTTACACACACTCTTCCATCTATTCCCAACAACAGCCCCACCCAACGGGCACCAACATGTCTCCAGACATCTTATGGGGGAGTGGGGCTGGAACTGAGGCTCAGAGAGGCCAAGGAACCTGGGTCTCATAGCTGGCTGCCTTGGGGCTGGGTCACTCATGGATGAGGCTCAGGGTTCCTACACCGGGGCCTATGTGGCCCTGCCCACGGCGGAGGGGAGTAGGGTTGGGGCTGGCCTGTGAGGGTCCCCCCGTAGGGGTCAGCTCCAAGGGCCGGCAGAGCCCAGCGAACACTTGTCTGTGAGCTTAAGGAAGGATGTCCTCATGCGCGGCTGAGGGTCCTGGGTGGCAGCCTTGGCCCTGCCACACTCAATCTATGACCCTTGTCAAGGCCTCTCCCTTCTGGGACCTCAGTGTTCCCATCTGTAAAATGGCTGGGTGGAACCAGACTCTCTTGACCCTGATATTTGTGGACTCAGGGCCAGAGTGCAAAGGGAGGCATATGAACAAATGCAATGTGTGTAAAGCACCACGCCAGCCCACCTCCAGGCACCACCCCGCAGACCTGGAGCCTCAAAGAACCAAACCACCCATGGCCGATAAGCCAGACTGGGAGCTCAGATCTGCTGGGGCACAGGGCATCTGGGTCAGGGTTCCCGGGGGAGGGTGCCCAGATGGGACTCTCCAGAACAGGGGTGGGTAGGTCCCTCCCACTCCAGGCATCTGAGCCCCTTCCAGAATCAGAGGGGAGGGAGGAGAGGCAGCTTCCAGGCCGTTTGCCGGCACGTGCATTCGGGTGTTGGGGTGGTCAAGTTTTCGCAACAGTGGCCGCCCCTTGTCTGGTTCCTCTTCCCCATTTGGCATATGGGGTCGCATCTCTCTTGCCTGGTCTGCCAGCAGTACTGCCCGCCCCCCAGGGCTGACCACTGGGGTGGAGCAAGCTTTGAGGAAGGAGGTGGGATAGATAGGATAACGGAAAAAAAAAACAGAAAACAAACCCATTGCCATCGAGTTGATTCCAACTCACAGTGACCCTATAGGACAGAGTAGAACTGCCCCACAGGGTTTCCAAGGAATGGCTGGTGGATTTGAACTGCAGACCGTTTGGTTAGCAGCTGTAGCTCTTAACCACTGCTCTACCAGGGCTCCAGGATAATGGAAGGGAGAGTTAAATGGTCTAAGGGACACTGGCCCTGGGCAGAGGTGACCTCCCTGTGGACAGTGGAGCTGGCTCATTCCTCTCCTCTGTCTGGTGGGTTTGGATGGGCCCTGCATCCCTGGGGGAGGGACACAGGTCCCACCTACCTGGTGCTGGATGTAGGCGTGGATGCGCTCCAGCATCCCCTCGCAGGTGTACTCGTAGGGCAGGTAGGGGTCTACCTGTGGGAGAGAGTGCAGACCCATGGGGCAGGGGGAGCCAAGCCCCCCAGACCTGGCTGGGCTGCTGGGGGCCCACCCTGCTCAGCACCGTGCCCAGCTCGCAGATGTCCCCCCACCACCTGGTCCCTCCACTCAGAGTCCTCCTTCCCAGGACACCTTCCAGTGACCCTCAGGGACCCACAACCCATAAGGCACGGCCGTCTGGCCCCCGCCGATCCCTGCCTCGTCCCATGTCCCAGCCACACTGAGCTGCTCCTTGCTGTACAGCTCAGCGGCCAGGCCCCTCCTGGGCTGCCAAGTCTACTCGTCCATGTCCGACCCAGATCCATCCTCCCATCTCACCTCCTCCAGGAAGCAGTCCTGGAGCACCCCCCACTCCTGTTCCGGGACCCCCAGCACGCCATACTCCACAGCAGTTAGCACCTCTGCCGTCATTCCCTGTTGGCCATTCATGAGGCTACAAGCTCCCTCAAGGTGGAGACTACCTTGTTCACTATTAAATCCAGGGGCCTGGTCTACAGCAAGGAGCCCTGGTGGCTCAGTGGTTAAAGCACTCGGCTGCTAACCAAAAGGTCGATGGTTCAAACCCACCAGCCGCCCCTCAGGGGAAAGCTGTGGCAGTCCGCTTCTGTAAAGATTACCCACTGCCGTCGATTCGCTTCCGACTCATAGCGACTCTGTAGGACAGAGCAGAGCTGCCCCATAGGGTTTCCAAGGCTGTAACCTTTACGAAAGCAGACTGCCACATCTTTCTCCCGCGGAGCAGCTGGTGGGGTTGGAACAGAACAGCCGATCTTTCAGTTAGCAGCCAAGTGCTTTAATCACCATGTCACCAGGGCTCCTCCATAGCTGAGTGCCAAAAAAATGAACCCATTGCCGTCGAGTGGATTCCAACCCCTAGCGACCCTATAGGACAGAGTAGGACTGCCCCGTAGAGTTTCCAAGGCTATAATCTTCACGGGAGCAGACTGCCACATCTTTCTCCCATGGAGTGGCTGGTGGGTTCAAACCGCCGACCTTTCGGTTAGCAGCTGAGCACTTAAACACCATGCCACCATGGATCCTTCTGTAAAGATTTACAGCCTTGGAAACCCTATGGGGCAGTTCTACTCTGTCCTATAGGGCTGCTATGAGTTGGAGTTGACTCGATGGCAATGGTTTGGTATACAGCAGGTGCTCAGGAGACCGTCGTGGAATGCAAACACATTGCAGCTCTGCCTGAGTCCTGCCCAGGACACGGAATGTCCTTGCAGAGGCGCACCTGGACATCTCCGAGTCGACTGAATGGGATGATGTTTGCAAAGCGCCGCCTTGCTGGGCCCACGGGACTATGGAACATACCTAACCCCGCGGCGGGGGTGGGGAGAATGCAGTGACAGTAGCTGGCATACAAAAAGCAAGGGCAATCAAAAAAAAAAAAAAAACCCATTGCCACGGATTTGACTCTGACTCATGGTGACCCCATGTGTGTCCGCATAGAACTACTCCATAGTGTTTTCAAGGGCTGATATTTTGCAAGTAAACTGCCTTTCTTCCGAGATGCCTTTGGGTAGACTCAAACCTCCAGCCTTCATCTAACAGCTGGGCATATTAAGCATTTGTAGCACCGAGGAATTCCAACGGCAATAGAGAGAAGAGGTGATAAAGGAGGTGTCCACCCTCCTATGAGCGGGTACCCCCACTGCCTCCCCCACTTTTTCTTCACTGACCAACCCCTTCCTGTCTATATGAACCCCCTCGGTGCCCAGCACAGAGCCACCAGGGAGGAAACGGGTGGGCAGGAAGGAGGGGGAGAAGGGCCAGGGTGCTAGGACATGGAGCGTAACACACCCCAGAGAAAGGTCTGGTTTAGCCTTCAGCCTCCCCCTCCCCATGCAGGCGCACTTTTTAAAAAATGTATTTATTGTTGTGCTTTAAGTGAAAGTTTACAATTCCAGTTAGTCTCTCATACAAAAATTTAGACATACATTGTTATGTGACCCTAGTTGCTCTCTCTGTACTGTGACAGCACACTCCTCCTTTCCACCCCGGATTTCCCACGTCCATCCAGTCAGCTCCTGACCCTCTCTGCCTTCTCGTCTCACCTCCAGACAGGAGCTGCCCATTTAGTCTCATGTGTCTACTTGAGCTAAGAAGCACACTCTTTACAAGTATCATTTTATGTCCCATAGTCCAGTCCAATCTTTGTCTGAAGAGTTGGCCTCGGGAATGGTTTTAGTTTGGGGCTAACAGAGAGTCCAGGGGCCATGCCTCCTCGGGTCCCTCCAGTCTCAGTCAGACCATTAAGTCTGGTCTTTTTACTAGGTTTGAGTTCTGCACCCCACCTTTCTCCTGCTCCATCAGGGACTCTCTGCTGTGTTCCCTGTCAGGGCGGTCATTGGTGGTAGCCGGGCACCATCTAGTTCTTCTGGTCTCAGGCTGATGAAGTCTCTGGTTTATGTGGCCCTTTCTGTCTCTTGAGCTAATACTTTCCTTGTGTCTTTGGTGTTCTTCATTCTCCTTTGCTCCAGGTGGGTTGGGACCAATTGATGCATCTTAGACAGCCACTCGCTAGCTCTTAAGACCCCAGATGCCAGTCCAGGTACATGTTTTGACAGCACACCTGGCCCAGCCCACCTCTTATTTATGCAGTTTCCTGGCAGCAGCTGCAGAAATTAGCTATTTTTCACCCTGGTGGTGGGATTTAACCACTTGCCTCAAGCCCACCCCACCTCTTCTTCCCCATCAGGGGCAGGGGCGTCAGGAAGGCTCCTGGTCTGTGCTGGGTCCTGCTCCCTGCAGCCCACCGCTGAGGGGCTAGGCTGTCCTGACACTCTTGGCGAGGAGGGTCCCAGCGAAGCAGCTGGTCCTGGCCACGGGGACTGGTGCCCGGGACAAGCTTACTCCGTGGACTTGCTCTGGGCTCGGGCTTCCCGCGGCACTGTGACAGGGGTTGTGAGTTGTGGGGCAGCTCTGGATCCCCACAGCATCCCAGGTTCCTGTCCAGCCATCCAGGTGCCGATTATTCAATAGGCAAGGTAAGCATGGGCTTACTTGTGCTTACGCATCTGTAATGAACAATTTCACATGGGTTTCACATCTTTGATGTGGTGAAACCCACGAGAAATTGTTCACTACGGATTAGTAAGTAAGCACCACTAAGCCTGCACTTACCTTGCTTACTGGGTCATTGTCCCTGTCAGGGATTGTACATTTGAAAAGAGGCTTTGATTCCGTAGGAAGGTGCTGTGGGGTTGGGAGAGAGACAGATGCCGGCCACACCTAGAAGCAGAGTCTTTGATATGGTGAAAAAATGTGATACTGTTTACTCCAGATGATCTGGTAAGCAAGGTAAGCACTGTGCTTACCTGGCCTATTGGATAATCCGCCCCTGCAGCCATCACTTCATATCCCATTGCCGGATAAGGGCCCCACCCCCAGCAGGACCCTGTCCCGATCAGCTGGCATCCGAGCCGATGATCCCAGAAAGCCCTGCTGGTTCCCTGGACGCTCACGATCAGCGTCAGGGCGCCTCTGGGGGCGCCGTGGGCACAAGGCTCCAAGCCCAGGTGGTAAACAAAAACCCCCAGCGACTAGCGAGCTTTTCGTCTCCAAATGTCACTCCCTGTGCTCTGTGACAGCAATCCCAGAGTCATCTCCCTGTGCGTTTGAAGCCTGCATCAGACAGTGATCCAAAAGGCTCTGTTTGGGCAGGGAGCGCTCCCAGCGCGTCCTGGCTGCCATAAATCTCCGCTGGAGGAGCCAGCCGGCCTGGAAATTACCCCATTAGGCCTAATTACAGGTGTGCACCGTAATCTGTCTTGACAGAGTGACAGGTGCAGGGCCTGCCGGGGAATTGCGTCTGCTTAAGGGTAATGACAGGGGAGTAGGGGAGGAGGGGAGGAGGTGGAGCAGGGGAGGGGAGCGGGGGAGGGAGTGGTGTGGGGGAGGGGAACGGGAAAGGGGGAGCCGGGTGGAGCTAGGTCACTTACTCTCCTGTCCCCTCTAATAGCCTTACTGTGGCCAGAGGGATGCCAAAACGGGCAAACCCACTGAGGCCAAGAGGCTCCAGAAAGGACCCCCGCTTCATGGTCCTCCGCTGTGAGGTGGGGCCGGCCTGTCCCCTCCTCGCCCTTCCTCTCTCCCCATGAAAGGCTGCCTGACCTGCAGAACAAGCTGCAGCCACTGACACGGCCCCCCAGTCAGTGTTTCCTGAAATAGGAAGCTCAGAACTACCCAGGGTGCTTACTCAAAACGCAGGTTCCAGGGCCACAGGCAGCCCGGTGAAAGCAGAAGATTGGGGGGTGGGCCCAGGAATCTGCATGTTAACTACCTCCCCAGGTGTCTCTCCGGGCACTAGTGTTTGAGCTGCCAAGTTTACAGCATGTGAACGGTTTTTAAGGGGAGTGGGCCCACAAAAGGGAGGGGCTGAAGGCGGAGGGCGCATGGCTAGTTTGGGGCCCGGCTGCAGGTCTTAGCTTGGTGGATTTGCAATACCGCTTCCTTGACCTTTTTTTTTTTTTTTTTAATTACTTGATTAACAAAATTAAACAGATGTTCATGGTTTACAAAAAAAAAAAAAAATCAAAAAGGGAAAAACAGTGGAAAGTTGGAAAGTCAGTCTCTTGGCACCCCAAGCATGCAGCCCCTCCCCTGGGCAGCCACTGTCACCAATTTGTCATGTGTCCAGCAAGAAATAGCGCACAAACCCACGAGCATATCCACCGCGTACAGCTCCCACCCCTACGCACACACCTTCCTGGTCTGCAGACGGAGCACTTTAACCACAGGGCTGGACACCTGCTCATTTAGCTGACCTGAGCCCAAGGATGGGGACGTCTCTGCTGGTCCCCCTCCCACCCCTGCCTCCTCTGGGCCAGAGCTGGTGGCTTGCTTTGGCAGGGGGAGGGAGAAGACAGCAGAGGGAGGTGGGCTGGGGACACTTGATGAATATGGAGGTGGGAAGGACACCGTGTGGGAGAGGTGTCCGAGCTACAGCAAGAAGTGGTCCAGATGGGCCATGGCAAACAGCACCGTCTGCGCGGCCTCATGCCTCCTGAAATGAAGGCCCCAGCTGACACGGGGCCATCAGGAGCCACAGTGGCGCCCGCCAAGGAGACAGGCTGTCCAGGCACACGCCCCCACCCACACATGTGCATTTACACCTCACTACTCAAAGTGTGGTCCGTGGACCAGCAACATCCATCGGCATTCCCTGGGAACTCGTTAAAACCGCAGGTCTCAGCCCTACCCCAGACCAGCCAAATCAGAACCTGCATTTTAACGAGATCCCCAGAGATATGTATGCTCCTTATAGTCGGAGACAAGCCATTAAAGGGGGCCGCAGATCCACACCTGCGGTGCAGTTCAAAGGATCTCCACGCATTCACCCTAAAACATTTATTCAGCTCCTAAGTTGTGACAGCAGCACACACAGGGCCTGGTCCCCCAGCAGGCACTCAACAAGTGATTCGGAAACCAGGGCTGCTGAGTAAGGCTGTGCGGGTTTCTCACTGCACAAAGTCACCACCCACTCCCAACACACACACATGCAAGTCGGTCAGTGGGAGCTGAACTCCAGCCCCAGCTCCACCCTCCAATCCAGGGCTGTGTCTGCTCGGGCAGGGGGGAACGCCTTTACCAACTCAGGCAAAGTCTGGACTCACCCAGAGGGCCACAGTACGGGCTTGAGGTGCCCGCCGGGACGCAAGTCTCACCCGTGTTCTCAGGATGGCCTTGATGGCTGCTTCAAACTCCTCCGAGTTGTTGTAGTCGACAGTCCACACGTGCGGCTTGCCAATGAAGTTCTCTGCATAGGGGTGCTGGGAGAACACCTGGCCGGCACAGAGGCAGGCGGCTGGGCCGGGTGGAGGGAGGCGCCCCGCCCCAGCCTCAATCTCCCTCCTCCAGGCACTGCAGGGGTGCTAATCGTGGGCCCTCCCACTCACCTCTCGGGAAGTGGGCTTGCCTCTGAAGAACTCATGGTTGAGAGAACTGTGGGGTGGGCTGAAGCGGGACTGCAGGAAGATGCAGCCGTTGGCGATGGCCTCCAGGGGCGCGGGGCCCTCGTAGGGGAAGCCAAACCCTATGAAGAGCTGAAGAAGTCGAGGGGACAATGACCGGGGGAGGCTGGGCCGCTGCAGCCCAGGAGTCCCAGGAAGCTGGGGCAAGGTTAGGGTCTGGGAAGGTCACAGGGGGCAGCTGGGGCAATAAAGGCAGCCAGCCCCCTGTGTGCCATGGAGAAGCCACTTCTGCTCTTTGGGCCTTGGTTTCTCCATTTGTGAAGTGAGAGGTCCTATTAGGTGCGGTGGTTAAGTGTTCGGCTGCTAACCAAATCCAGCAGCGCTCCTTGGAAACCCTATGGGGCAGTTCTACTCTGTCCTAGGAGCGCTATGAGTGGGAATCGACTCGATGGCAGTGGGTTTGGTGTTTTTTTGTTAGGTAATCTTGGAGCTCTCGTGGCACAGTGGTTAAGAGCTCGGCTGCTAACCAGAAGGTTGGCAGTTCTAATCCACCAGCCACTCCTTGGAAACCCCATGGGGCAGTTCTACACTGTCCTATAGGGTCACTATGAGTTGGAATCAACTCGACGGCAACAAGTATTTTATCAGGTAATCTCAGTGGCCTCTTCCTGCTCTAATAGGCTATGATTTGGGGGGGACGGGAGAAGAGGGATGGTCTCGATTTAGAAGGCCACAGACTCACACCTATGGCTGAATTCAAAGGACCTCTCCTCACTCATCCTGAAACCATTCATTCAGCACCTGACCTATGTTAGCAGTGCTCACAGGCCTGGCCCCCGGCAGCTGCTCAAAATGATTCGGAATCTAAGGCTGTCATGTACGGTAGCTCAGGGTGCTCACTGCACAAAGGCACCCTCTTGTCCTACGTGCAGACCCACGAGGCGAGCAAAGAAGCTAGGGTCAAGTCAGGAGTAGGATTGGAAGATGGCTGGAGACCCTCCAGCCTCAGCTGACACTTCAGGGCCCAGTAGTAGGGACATCACCACTGTGTTAGTCACTGCTCCAGAGGTACAGCTCAGGGACTTCCAGAGGCAGCCAGTCAGGATCTAGTGGCCTGATGGAATCCCAGCAAGGACCCCTCTCTCAGCCTTCTCTACCACCTCCTCAGCGGTTCCAAAAGCCAGGCCTGACCCAGGTGCCCAATGGCCTGGACTGATACTGAGCGGGGAGCAGGTGGGCAGCCTACTCCTCTTCCACATCATTGTCCCTCAGCTCTTCCGGCCCTGCCCAGCCCCTTTCACTAGGAGGCCTCCCCTCCCTGGTGGCCACCCCATCTCTGCTCCTAGGCTCTGGTCAGGCCCAGGAGGACCTGGCATGGGGCCAGGGAGCAGAGCATGCTGGGCCTGAATGCAAGCGGACGGGGCCACGAGTGATGGTAGCAGGCCTGGTAAGCACACTGGAGTGACCTCGTCAGCATTTGTGGCCAGGCTGGGGTAAGGACAGTGTAGGGGCCAGCTTACTTTGGCCTTGCGCAGCAGCTGCTGGAACTCGGGCTGGGGAAGGAGGCCGTGGTTCTTCACAAAGGCCGGGACCTCAGGGGGCCGCTGGCTCTCATAATACACTGTGCCATGGATCTCCATGTACTTGTTCAGGATGCTCAGGAACTTTTCCTTCCCCTGGAAGAGGAGGAAGAGGAAATGGCAGCCTTGCCTCCACCATGGAAATCAAAGCCAGGTGGAGGAGACACTCCTGGTCTGGAAATCAGAAGATATGGGGCTGAGTCTTAGGTCTGCAATGAACCAAATATGTGACCCTGGGCAAGGCCCCTCTTCTCTCAGATGCTGGACTAGATCAGAGACTTCAGAACTAATTTTAGCCATGGAACTGTTTTCTCTCCAAAGGAACTCTGTGGGAACCAATATTTAAATGGATCAAAGTGGAGCTGCGTGGTCTGATTGGCTTTCCCTGAAGGCTGATGGCCTCCAAGGACCTCTGAGGAACTCTGGAGCTTTGTAGAGCCTGAATCATCCATCCATCCATCTACCCATCCACATCCATCCATCCATCCAGTCCATCTATCCATCCATCCACATCCATCCCATCCAACCATCCACATCAATCCCATCCATCCAACCATTCATCATCCATACACCTCATCCCATCCATCCATCCATCCACCCATCCATCCATCATCCATCCAATTCATCCACCCATCCATCCACTCATGCTGCAGGTGTTTATTGAGCACCTAATATGTGCTGGCACTGTTCTAAATGCTGAGATCACAGCAGGTACAAGACAAAGTACTTATCCTCTTGGAGGACACTTGTGACTGAAAGCCCCCCAAACTAGCAAAGGCTCAGCCCCTCCAGATATGAGAATCCAAAATTCAGGCTGTGCTTCCCCTCCAGCCCAAGAGGGCTGGGAAACAGACCCAGCCTGCAGGCAAAGGGGTCAAAAGGAGGCAGAGCAGGACAAGATAACACCTCAGCCTCTAGGCACCCATTCTGACCTTCTGGGCCAGGGCCCTGAGCTGGGAGCTGTGGTCACTATAGAAGGTGGGGATGGGAAACCTCGCTAGGGATAAACACACAATTCAGCTACTAGGCTGTTACCTGCTTGTTCTTGGGGGAATTTTTGAGGTTTGCAGAAGAGAGAAAGGGATAAGCTGAAAAGAAAGTAGCTTCAAAGTAGCGTCTTGGAGAAGGATGGGGAAGGTGTTATGGATTGAATTGTGCCCCCTAAAAATGTGTGTCAACTTGGCTAGGCCATGATTTCCAGTATTGTATGGTTGTCCACCATTTTGTCAGCTGATGTGATTATCCTGTATGTTGTAAATCCTAACCTCTATGACGTTAATGAGGCAGGATTAGAGGCAGTTATGTTAATGAGGCAGGACTCAATCTACAGGATTAGGTTGTATGTTGAGTCAATCTCTTTTGAGATATAAAAAAGAGTATCGAGCAGAGACACAGGGGGACTTCCTACCACCAAGAAAGAACAGTAGGGAGCAAAGCGTGTCCTTTGAACTGGGGGTCCCTGTACTGAGAAACTCCTAGACCAGGGAAAGATTGATGACAAGGACCTTCCCTCAGAGCCAACAGAGATAGAAAGCCTTCCCCTGGAGCTGGCGCCCGGAATTAGGACTTCCAGCCTCCTAAACTGTGAGAGAATAAACTGCTGTTTGTTAAAGCCATCTGCTTGTGGTAATTCCGTTATAGCAGCACTAGATGACTAAGACAGAGGGTAGTTCCCAGCAGGCAAATAGTTCAGAGAAAAAGAGCCACGGTTCTCCACGCCCTGCTGGCCAGCCAGAAAGCCAGAGCGCAAGGAGCTTCAGGCCAGTTTTAGTCTAGAAGCCACAGCCTCTTCAACAATGTTATGAATGGACATCAGAATAATTGGTAATGATTCACATTTTGAGAATAAAACTGTATAACATTTTCAGAAGGAGGGCTTCCACTTCTAACAATGGCAGGCTGTTGTGTGCCGTGGAGTCTGCATTGACTCATAGCAACCCCGTGTGACAAGAGTAGAGCCGCCCCATAGGGTTTTCTAGGCTGTAATTTTTAGGGGAGCAGATCATCAGGTCTTTTTCCCTCAGAGCCACTGGGTGGGTTCGAACTGCCAACCTTTCGGTTAGCAACCCAGTGCTTAACCATTGCACCATGGGGCTCCTAATGGCAGACTAGGTAATACATATCAACCCTGCAGCTGAGAAAAACTAGGAAAGATGGGAAAATGTAAAACACATCTGCTTGAAGGCGCTAGAAATGTAACAAAGAAAGAAAAATTGCAAGACCAAGATCCAGGAGAAGGAGGTAAAGAAGGCTGTTGAGCTCAGTCAGCATTTGGGTCGGCTTTCCCCCCTAGGGCATCTGCTGATTCCAGAGACAGCACAGAGGAGGCTGAGCAGAGCATTTGGTAGCCTCGCAGAGCTAGGGGATAAAAATCACAGTTCAGGGCCTGCCAAGGACGGGGAGCCCTGATGGGAGCTCCATGCTTTGGGGTAGAAGTCTGGGGTCCTACACCCTGGAAGGAGGAATGGACCAGGAGACCAGCCCTTGCAGGGGCTGAATCTGTTTTAAATCGCCTCAGTCACTGTAACTGGGTTATGGTGATCAGAATTGCTAGGGCCCCCAGATGCAAGCCAAAAGTAAAAATAAATCCTCTCTGGAAGAAGGGAGCATCATCCTTAACATCCTATTATTTCTATAAGTTTTCATATTCATTTTCCAGAGCTCAGTAAAAAAAAGAAATAAAAGAACCAATGAAATCTCAATAAAAACCCCAGCAGGAGTTTTGTAGCTATTGGCAAGCTGATTCTAAAACTTATATGGAAATGCAAAAGACCAAGAATAGACAAAATGACTTTGAAAAACGAGAACAAAGTTAGCAGACTTACACTGCCTGATTTCAAGACTTACTAAAAGCTACACAATCAAGATAGCGTGGAACTGGTACCAAGACAGACAAACAGATCAATGGAACAGAGTAGAGAGAAGAGAAATAGAACCAAACATATATGGGTGTCTTAGTCACCTAGTGCTGCTATAACAGAAATACCACAAGTGGATGGCTTTCAAAAAGAGAAATTTATTATCTCACAGTCTAGGAGGGTAGAAGTCCTAATTCAGCATGCCGGCTCCACGGGAAGGCTTTCTCTCTCTGTGTCAGCTCTGGGGGAAGGTCCTTGTCATCAATCTTCTCAGCACCGGGACCCCAGGTCCAAAGGACGCCCTATTCTCCTGGCTCTTGTTTCTCGGTGGTATGAGGTCCCCATGTCTCTCTGCTTGCTTCTCTCTTTTATATCTCAAAAGAGATTGACTTAAAACACAACCTAATCTTGAAGAATGAGTCCTGCCTTATTAACATAACCACCTCTAATCCCACCTCATTAACATCATAGAAGTAGGATTTACAACACATAGGAAAACCATATCAGATGACAAAATGGTGGCCAATCACACAATACTGGGAATCAACTATCCAAGTTGACACACATTTTGGGGGGACACAATTCAATCCATGACAATGGTCAATTGGTTTTTGACAATGGTAAAAAGGCAATTCAGTGGAAAAAGGGTAGTTTTTTCAACAAATGATGTTGGATCATTGGATATCCATAGGTGACGAAGGATCAGGAGGAGGAGGGTGTTATTTATGTAGAAGGATATTTATGTTATTTGCGTATAAGGATAATGATCCCAAAGGAATGTCAGAAATGTAAGAAGGAATGAAGAACAATAAAAAAAGATAAATATGTGGTAAATCTAAAAGAATACTGAATTTATAAGGCTATCTTTCGGGGTTTAAAATATATGTTGTCGTTGTTGTTGTTAGGTGCCATCGAATCAGTTCTGACTCATAGCGACCCCATGTACAACAGAACGAAAAGCGTCCAGTCCTGCGCCATCCTTACAATTGTTATGCTTGAGCCCATTGTTGCAGCCACTGGGTCAATCTATCTCCTTGAGGGTCTTCCTGTTTTTCGCTGACCCTCTACTTTACCAAGCATGATGTCTTTCTCCAGGGATTGGTCCCTCACGAAAACATGTCCAAAGTATGTGAGATGAAATCTCACCATCCTTCCTCCTAAGGAGCATTCTGGTTGTACTTCTTCCAAGACAGATTTGTTCGTTCTTCTGACAGTCCATGGTATATTCAATATTCTTCATCAACACCATAATTCAAAGGCATCAATTCTTCTTTGGTCTTCTTTATTCATTGTCCAGCTTTCACATGTATATGAGGCGATTGAAAATACCGTGGCTTGAGTCAGGTGCACCTTAGTCCTCAAAGTGACATCTTTGCTTTTCAACACTTTAAAGAGGTATTTTACAGAAGATTTGCTCAATGCATTCTGTTGTTTGATTTCTTGACTGCTGCTTCCATGGGCGTTGATTGTAGATCCAAGTAAAATGAAATCCCTGACAACTTCAATCTTTTCTCTGTTTATCATGATGTTGCTTATTGGTCCAGTTGTGAGGATTTTTGTTTTCTTTATGTTGAGGTGTAATCCACACTGAGGGCTGTAGTGTTCGTTCTTCATCAATAAGTGCTTCAAGTCCTCTTCACTTTCAGCAAGCAAGGCTGTGTCATCTGCATATCACAGGTTGTTAATGAGCCTTCCTCCAATCCTGATGCCCCGTTCTTCTTCATCTAGCCCTGCTTCTCAGATTATTTGCTCAGCATACAGATTGAAGAAGTATGGTGAAAGGATATAACCCTGACGCACACTTTTCCTGATTTTAAACTACACGTTATCCCCTTGTTCTGTTCGAACGACTGCCTCTTGGTCTATGCACACATTCCTCATAAGCACAATTAAGTGTTCTGAAATTCCCATTCTTTGCAATTTTATCCATAATTTGTTATGATCCGCACAGTCGAATGTATTTGCATAGTCAAAACACAGGTAAACATCTTTCTGGTATTCTCTGCTTTCAGCCAAGATCCATCTGACATCAGCAATGATATCCCTCATACCACATCCTCTTCTGAATCTGGCTTGAACTTCCGGCAGTTCCCTGTCAATGTACTACTGCAACCACCTTTGAATGATATTCAGCAAAATTTTACTTGTGTGTCATATTAATGATATTGTTCGATAATTTCCACATTCTGTTGGATCACCCTTTTTTGCAATGGGCACAAACATGGATCACTTCCAGTC